GGGGGGGGGGGCTTGGTTGGGCAAAAATTACAAGAACATAACATAGAAGAGGATGGGCCCAGAATAAGGCCCATTACAGAAAGGAACATAAACAATAAGAAAGMATAACAGCCTATGGGCCATTCGGCCCATCTTCTCTACAACCTTTCTTTCTTGTACTTTAGTAGGTGCATACATTAGTGTATAGCAATTTTAATTCTTTTGTAAGGACAATCTTGTCCATTCACTTTTTATTAATATAAATACTCTCTTTTTGGTTGGTTCGATCAGATTGATCAACCCTAACAGATCTGGACTATTGGCTTCCCTCTTGTCTCTTCACATTGTTGAGAGGCAAATCACAACATCAATAAACCTACTTTGTGTCCCTATCCCAAATGGGACCTCTTTTAAGCTATTCAAGGAACTCAACATTACCTTTCTAGGTGTTTGATGTATATGGATTTGTAAATTGCCTACCATCCCATCCCCATTTAGTAAAATAATAAAAAAAATAGCTTTAGATGCATCAACTAAATAACTTCAACTGCACTACGGGAAGATGCATTCTCCAAACCTAGGTCCACAAAACAATAACATCAATTAATCAATACCATACTTTAGTTGGTAAAATTAACTTTTGGTTTTTCAGAATTTTTAAGCAGGAAGTATTTGTGTTTTTGATACTGCTAACAATGAAACAGTAGAAAGATACAAGTATGTTGCTTTTCATATCCCCAATGTAGTCTTTATCTGCATTTATTCACAAGATATTTGGATCTGTCTCTTTGGATCATGATTAACAGTGTGGTGTGCCTGAATAAGAAGTCCTCCCTTGTTAAACTATAAAATTTCTGGAGATTTCTAGACACCATTGAGAGTGAACACTCACCATAGCATCAACCACCCAGAATTGACTCCTTGCACTTTCGAAAGCAGAGGTGTTATTTCCTAGCATCCTTGCCATAGTATTCCTTGCGGCATTTACAACACCTATTCCTGCACTGCAACATGAGGGAAAAACATATCTCAAAACCTTACACTAGGAGAAGAAAGTTGTCACTTTAATGCAATTTGATTTTGACAAGATGGAAAACCCTTCAAGGATCTATGCTCTTCCTACCAGAATGATTATGATGGCTAAACACCTATAGATAGAAATAATATTGAGAGTCATGCCTTTTCTTCAAAATGAAGAACAAAAAATGCTGTTAAGACTGGGTGCAAATATATGTCCTAATACCAAGGCGACGTTTGACAAGTCTTTGTGTGCGGTTTTCTGGGCTTTGGAAAGCTGGGAATACTGAAAATCGGTCTTTTTTCAAAAGCTGGTAAGACCAGCAGACGCAAGCGCAGAAAAACCCAAAAAGACCAAAAATGCCAAATTTTGTGAAGCTTCAAATGAAGCTTTCTGGTCTTTCCGTGTGATAAATAGCCTCTAAGCACATTTTAGAAGGCCGGCAAACCAAGCCACTTGCCAAACGGAAGATCTTTTGGCAGTCTCAGCTGCTGGAAGATCTTTCTAAAACGACTTTCCAAATGGAACCTAAATGATTTGAGCACAAATACAATCCCAATACAGTCAGGATATGAAAATAAGAGAGGGGGGGGGGGAGATCATGGAGTGAATTGTTGACACTCTGCATCACAACCATGAGGTATGCTGGGATAATTTTTGTACTCTGTTCTTACATGCACTATGTGACAGAAGCTGCTGCTCCCTCCCATGGATAATGAGAGAAAGTTTTATGTAATTTTTTTAGTTTTGTTAAAATCGATGAATGTTTGATCTTGTTATCAATCAAAGAAAAAACACGGGTTCATGCAGATATATGAAACATTACATTTAGAGGTGCGGACTGGTAAGAAGCATTGTATAAATTGCTTGTGTTCAGACTGGGGTTTTTGTCCTAGATTTCATTTTGGGTTTAAAATATTTTGAAGGATTTGATAGGTATCTTTCAGGATTGGTTTTTGAGATATACTGGGGATTGTGGATAATACAGTATGTATTGTGGAATCACCTTTTATATACAGTTTGTTGTCCTAAAACCTTATTATATTCTCTTTCCTTATTGACTATACTTGTTCATAAAAGGAGAAAAACACTGATTAGCTATTCTATTACCATTGATTCTTTAACAGACATAACTCATATTAAAAAAAATAACAGTTTTCTCATATTCTAACTTGGAATACCATGACTTGCATAACAACTATCTTTTTACTGATGATGCTCTACTTATTATGTACCTAGTGTTTACAAGATTTAGAAATGTGATGGACTTCAGACTTACCAGTCTGATAGGAAGTGTTTACAAGATTCTGTTTAAAATTTTGTCCACAAGGCTTAGAAATGTGATGGACTCTCTGATCTTAGCATGCCAAGTGTTGGAGAATGAAAAAAAATATTTAGGGACCTTACCTAACAGCTTAAGCTTTTAGGATGAATGGTTCCTTTGTGAAGCAACCTGATGTATTGTATTACTATAGTCCCTGCTGTAAATAGTCTTGTTCTTTTCATATTCTTTGTATTTCTATTTCAGCCCCTCTAAGGGCTCTTTTGCATTTTCTTTTTTATCTTTTAGCCCTCCAAGGACTCCTCTGTAATTCTTAATATTATTTAGTACATATGGCTCTTTGGGGTGGGGGTTGAGGAAGCTGTTTAGACACCCCCTGGAACTTTCTCCTCTCCCTCGAACTGGTTTAGTGACATGGTATCGGAGCAGGTCATGTCTACCAAATGCTGATTCAATTTCTTTCTTGGATGATTAGAGGGTTATTTGAGAAGTATTTTGATTACCATTGACCTCTGCTTGGAGATTATTTGAAGGCTGTCTCAATCAGCCAAAGCTGATAGATCTTTTCTGAGAAGGACACCCAACAGGTTAGTTTTTTCTTGTTTTCTTTAAATTGGATGATTCAATCATCACAAGACTCTATAGTTGGTGTTGCTCAGGCCTCCTTTAACTGGTTATTCATTTGTTTTTGTAAAACAAGAGTAAACAGAGGAAGAAGAAGAATTTGTTATATGTATTCATCAATCTCATATGTATATATACAAGTTAGAAATTCTATGTTAGGAAAGAAGACTAATTAAATTCCTACAAATCAGTCCTACAATCAAGGTAAATCATATCTCCTTAGTATTTACTTCCTATTCTATAACATCATATCTCCCTAGTATTTACTTCCTATTCTGTAACA